GTTGCAACAACACTACAACATAGCTGTTACGGCTAACTTTCTCAAAACCAGACGAATCAATCTTCTTTAATTCTGAAATCTTCCCAAAACTGATAAACGGACCTGGACACGTTCTTAGGCAACATAGGAAGATCATCCAGCTATGAAATCTCAATCAAGAATCAATCAAATCAATTTTCCATCTTTGAATCAATGGTTGACTTAGAAAAATAGAAACTAAAACAAGTTTCTGGATTTTTTGAAACCTGCCAAAAGAAACTTGCCAGCTGCATAGACATTTCTAAACGTAATCATCCCAGTAAAACATTCCCAAAATAATGCCAATCAAATCCGATTACAATCAATACACAAATTGGGAAACAAATCCTAATAATTCTGATTACGCGTAGATAAACATGCCATAATTATAACCTACTATGGTGCATAATCATTTAAGTGACGTATTTTTTAAGATGGAATTGACCGTATTTTAGGGAGGCTAATTTTTATGTTTGGAGAGCTATTACACCAACTTGCAAATAAAAACTAGAATGAGTTTTCCTTTAAAATAAAAATATAGCGGTGGTTATTATTTTTTGCTGAAAATAAAGATTGTAAGAAATCATATGTGAGAATTCTCAATAATATCAAGATACTAAACGAGTATTTTATGTTATTTGTTGCACACTAGTAATGCCCTTCTCAATTCCCCCATCCCCGCTAAACGCAATGGATTAGCATTTATACTTGAGAAATTTTGTCAATTTTCATTTTTCTCTCGCATGTGAAAGTTCATTTATAATATTAATTTATTTTTTTCCCCTCTACTAGCCAACACTGATTATGTTCAAATAACAAACAATAAAATATTATGTCCTATTTATTTTACTGATTCAAATTTTGTTACAGTAAAATATTTTAAAAAACAGTCACATAATTTTTTTGTTACAATAAAAGACGCTAACATAAAATCACATTTTAATTTAAATTAAAAATTTAACTTAACAAACTAAACGGACTCTTAATTATTTTTGTCTAAACAATATCGTACAGGAGTGGTGTAACTTTGCTCAAAACCAAGTAAAATACGTACATTAGTTATACTTACACGGGGCCCACCCACGATGTGTGCTTGCCAATCTTATTCCAGCGTGGCCTTCCATACTTCACTTGTGTTTGTGTGCTAATCATTGCAAAACATATTTCTAAGTGGAATTCCTAGTAACATTAAACATTATATTATAATTTCCATTTGGCTTCTCGGTCTTTGAAGTCGTGTTGTTAAAAGTAGCAGTAATCCATACAAGCAGAAAAAGTTTAGCTAATGCTGTCTTGCACTGCACAAAAGAATCATAATATTAACAAAAAGAAAAAAAAAATTCAGGAAGAAGTGATGAGGCAAAACATTCATCTTTGAGAGAAAAATTTATTGGCCGCAAGACAAATTAGTCAAACACAATGATCCACCTAGATGGGGAAAAAAGGTTAATTGCTTCATATAACTGATTTTTTTTTTCTTAGAAAATGATATAGGGAGGAGATCTAATAATTTAGTTGCTGTGAAAAGCATAATCTAAAGGGATATATATACAGAAGAATGATCCTAAAAGTCTGCTCTATTCAGGCTACATTTCCTATTCTATCTCATATTACAAGGAAAAGAATCAAATCAATGATATACATAAAAGTCAATGATCATTTTACTCTTAAGATCCCGTATTTTCCTTAACACTCCCCATCAAGTTAGAATAGATATTAATCCTTCCTAACTTGTTGAGTAAGTTCAAAAATTGTGGTAAAGCCAATGACTTTGTAAAGATGTCTGCTAGTTACTTCAATGTAGATATGTGGAAAGTCTTGATTACTCCAGCCTGAATCTTTTCTCTTACAAGATGGTAATCAATTTCTATGTGCTTGGTACGCTCGTGAAACACAGGATTAGAGGCAATGTGGAGTGCTGCTTGGTTGTCACAATATAGCTTAACTGGTTGTGAATGATTAACTCCGAGATCATGTAAGACATACCGCAGCTAAGTAACCTCACAGCAAGCTGATGCCATGGAGCGATATTCCGCTTCTGCACTTGATCGTGAAATCGTGGGTTGTTTCTTGGTTTTCCAGGAGATCAAGGAATGCCCAAGGAAGATGCAATATCCCGTAGTTGATCGTCTAGTGTCCCGACATCTAGCCCAATCCGTATCACAAAAGGCATTTAATTGCATTGAACTGTTTGCAGAGAGAAAGATTCCTTGTCCTAGTGTGTGCTTGATGTAGCGTAACACTCGTTGAGCTGCTTCTAAATGTGGGATGCGAGGCTTTTCCATGTATTGGCTGAGTATGTGGACTGCATATGTCAAGTCTGGACGTGTGATAGTCAGGTATATCAGTCTTCCAACAAGTCTGCGATAGGAAGAAGGGTCTCCGATGCATTCGCCTTCACCTTTGCTAAGTGATAAATTCTGCTCCATCGGTGAATTTGCTGGTTTAGTTCCCAAGTATCCTGCATTGTCCAAAATCTCAAGCACATATTTGCGTTGTGAAAGAGAGATTCCCTTCTTGGATCGGGCTATTTCTAATCCCAGAAAGTACTTTAACTCACCTAGATCTTTTAACTTGAATTGTTGCATGAGACAAGTTTTTATTTCTTCAATACCTTGTAAATTGTTCCCAGCTAAAATAATGTCATCCACATAAACAAGGAGAGCAGTGAAAGAAGCGTCACGGGTTCGAACGAATAATGAGTGATCCGATTTAGATTGATGAAACCCCGCATGTTTGAGAGCTGTGGACAACTTGATAAACCATTGACGAGAAGCTTGCTTGAGGCCGTACAATGACTTGTGTAGCTTGCATACGCGTGTCTCCCCCTTTCGTCCGAAGCCAGGAGGTAGGGACATGTAGACTTCCTCATCAAAGTCACCATGAAGAAAAGCGTTGTTGACGTCAAGTTGGCAAAGATGCCAATTTTTAGATGCTGCCACGGTAAGGAGTCGGACGGTCACAAGCTTCGCAACAGGAGCAAAAGTTTCATGATAATCGAAACCCTCTACTTGGCTATAGCCTTTGGCAACCAAACGAGCTTTGTAACGATTAATTGTGCCATCAGGATTGAACTTGATCTTGTAGACCCATTTACAACCAATGGGCTTCTTGTTGTGGGGTAGAGGTTGAAGAGACCAAGTACCATTGGCTTCGAGAGCAGTAAGTTCATCTTGCATGGCATGTATCCATTTAGGATCCTGGATGGCTTGTGCAAAGGATGTTGGTTCTTTTACAATTGAAATAGATGTAGCAAAAACTTTGTGTGCTGGTGAGAGTCGATCATAAGTGAGGACTTGGGACAAGGGATAAGAAATACCTTTGTTGTCAGTCAACACCAAGTGAGACGAGGGAAGGGACCGAGACGACAAGGGCGCTTCTACATGGTATTGTTGAAGATAGCTGGGTGCACGAGTGGCGTATCGCAACTGTGGTTCACGTTGAGGTGTGGCGGAAGGATTTGTGGCGGATGGAGAAGAGGGGATGATGTCAGGTGAGCTGGTGGTGACGGGCTCAGGTTCGACATCTGTGTTTGGAGGTGTTGGAGAAGTAGGTACAGAGATTTCATGGATTTGAGGTATCACGTCTTGGGTTTGAGATGTTGAAGCCTGGTCTTGCATGATTGTGAGCCTATTATCATAGACAATGGAAGATGGTGGTGAAAGTACGGTTGGTTGTGTGGTGGCAAAGACACTATAGGGAAAAATATACTCATGGAAAAGGACATCACGAGAGATAAAAATTCGTCCTGTATCTAAGTCATAGACTCGGTATCCTTTGGTGCCATATGGATATCCAAGAAATAAACATCGGGTGGATCGGGCGTTAAACTTACTGGGTCTATGATGATGAGTGGATGCAAAACATAAGCATCCAAAAACACGTAAATGCTCATATGCTGGTGATTTATGAAAAAGAACTTCATATGGTGTTTTACCTTTAAGAACCGGTGTGGGTGTGCGGTTGATGAGGTAAGCAGCAGTAAGAATGGCATCCCCCCAGAATTGTTTTGGAAGGTTAGCTTGAAAAAGTAAGGCACGAGCTATATTTAGAAGGTGATGGTGTTTGCGCTCGAAAACCTCATTTTGTTGCGGAGTAGAAACACAGCTAGTTTGGTGAAAAATTCCTTTATCAAAAAATAATTGGATGATATCAAATTCTTGTCCATTATCACTGCGAATAATCTTTATACGAGATGCAAATTGCATCTCAACCATCTTGATGAAAGTGACAAGAAAATCACGTGCCTTAGATTTTTTACGTAATAGATAAACCCATGTGCATCGTCAAAAATTATCAACTATTGTTAGAAAATACTTCGCGCCCCCCAAATATCAACATGTATTAACTCAAAAGGCACTGTTGTATTAATAGAACTCAAAGGAAAAGGTTTTCGAGTTTGTTTGGCAAGAGGACAAATGGAACAATCATTAATAGAATAAAAATGTATGGTCTTATTAAATAATGACAGAGATTTCATACTTTTATTTGAAAGGTGGCCAAGACGTTGATGCCAAAGGTGGGAACTAGTGGTGACAGCGGCTGAAATGGAGCAACACCCAGCATTCTTCTTGATATCCAGGTAGTAGAGTCCTTTTCGCTCAGTTCCCGTACCAATCGTCTTCCCCGAATGTTGGTCCTGAACAAACAAAGGTTTTTGGTGAAGGTTGCAACACATGAGGAAGTTTTAGCAAGACTGGCCACTGATATTAAATTTAAATGCACATATGTGTCACACGGGCAAGAGCATGATTTGGTAAATGCACATAACGATTGGTAACAAGTGTACTGGTAGTCATCAAATTAGATGAGCAGACCATATGGTCGGTTGCCCTTGTGTCAAAGATCCAATTGGTCTCTGAATCAAAATCATTTGCACGAGTTGCAGTACCTGAAAGATTGCTTACTGTTGGGGCTGAACTCACTTGATTAGCGATGCTACCTGATTTGGTCCGATCAATAAGGGCCATTAGATCATGATATTATTCTGCTGTAAGGCTGTAGGATGATGGCAGTGATGTAGCATTATTCAGTTTGGAATCTGCATAGTGAGCCTTGGAAGAAAAGCTCGAGTTTCCCTTTTTGTCTTCATGAGAAGTGGCCCTTTTTAATTTCCGACAAACATCAATAGTGTGGCCCTTGAAGCCACAATAATCACACTTGAGATGTGCTCGGCAATTTTCGGTGGAGTGTCCCATGATGTTGCAGCGATCACACTTGAGATGTGCATTCCTTTGCGGATGGTTTCTATTTGACTTTTGTGATTCGTCCTTGACAGCGAATGCAGCGGCATCTGGTGTCTTTCCCATCATCTGTGAAGAAACGGAACGTTGTTTTTCATCTTGAATAATAAGGGAGAATACCTTGTTCATTGCAGGCAAAGGCTCTATGAGTAAAATCTGTCCACGAGCCGTCGTATAGGTTCCGTCAAGTCCCATGAGAAATCTTATGGTTCGCTGCTTTTGTTGATACTCATGTAACTTCTTTGTCGTTTCACTATCACAAGGTGGGAGAGGACATAACACATCTCGTGTATCCCATAAGCCCTTCAGTTTGGTGTAGTATTCGCCAATGTTCATGCCTCCTTGTACACAATCATGAATCTCTTGATCAATATGGAAGAGATGCACACTGTTGGTGTGAGAAAAGCGCTCCTTCAATTCGTTCCAAAGCTCCAAAGCATTGTCGTTGTACATCACACTTTGTGCAATGTTAGGTGAGATGGTGTTGAGAATTCATCCCTTGACAAGAAGGTTGCAGCGAGTCCACTGCTTGATTTCCCTTGCTGATCCAGAGAGAGGTTTGGTAATGGTACCATCGATGAAGCCATCTTTGTTTTTGGTGATGAGAGCCATGAGCATGGCATGGCTCCAGATGGGATAATTTTCTTGTGTCAATATTTGAGTCACAAGGACCAAACCTGGTTGATCCGAGTGATGAAGACGGAAGGGATTGCTTGGATCTTCATACTTGTTTACATGCAGCTTGGACGCTTCGTCTTTCTCTGATGTTCTCTCGTCATTCTTTGCCATGGAAGCTGGCGGTGAAAATGACGCCTAGTTTTTTTTTTTTTTTTTTTTTTTTTTTTTTTTTTTTTGTAAGGGTTTTTTAAGATTTTCAACTCTCTGATACCATAATAATTTAGTTGCTGTGAAAAGCATAATTTCCATTAAGTTCTAAAGGGATATATATATACAGAAGAATGATCCTAAAAGTCTGCTCTATTCATGCTACATTTCCTATTCTATCTCACAAGAGAAAGAATCAAGATCATTTTACTCCTAAGATCCCGTATTTTCCTTAACAAGATCACATATTGAGAAATATTTGTATTAAGTTGTTAGAAAATAAAAAAGCATGTATCCTCCTAAAAAATTTCCAGGCACTTCTTATAAGTATCGACCCAGACTTTACATTTACCAAAATATTTGGAATAAGCTCAATACCATTAAAGTTACCGCTTTCTAATACCAATAATCTACCACTTTGGTGTTTACTAAATTATAGTTTTTTTTTTAACGTATTTATATTCTAAAATAAGAAGTGACACACATTAATATTAATTCATAATACAATAAAACTTAACTCTAATCACATTCCGGTTGCATCGATAAATCTAATAAAACATTCTTTCTTATTTTTTCCCTCACTATAAACTATTTCATTGTAGTTTATGTTTCTCCTAGAATTTTTATACACAAAAATGTCTATTCTCCTAGCCACCAAAATCATTTCACTAATATCCCAACTTTCTTTTTTCTTTGCAAGAAATAAAAACTAACTAGTCACTCGTGTTTAAAAATCAAGAGATGAATGAGCTCAAACTAGCAAATTAATGACCAATCTGACGGGTTATAATTGACCTAGTAATAGTTACAAGCAAATCAATTTCTATAACACCCAAAAATAAAAAAAAAATAAAAGCAAAAATATTGTCACTAAAGAGCATACAAACCCCATTAATTGAAATCAGTTTTAAGGAGATCCATATAACGTGTCATGTTTGACCTAGTAATAGTTGCAAGCAAATCAATTTATGTAACACTCAAAAAAAAAAAAAAAAAAACAAACCCCATTAATTGAAATCAGTTTAAGGAGTCAAAAAAATATTTGGATCAAGAGAATGACAACAATCCAAACCAAATTAGACATTTACAAATTGACTCTGTCGTTTAAAGAAACAAAGATCACAAAGTAGAAAAACGAAGAAATGACAAATCCAAAGTGAAAAATAGTAGTAATCTAAAAAGGGTAGTTGAGATATTTTTTACTAAAAATATTACCTACCCATTTTAGCTGGTTTCCCTCTGTAAATATTTTGTTGCCTTAAATATAACTAATAGCGAATCTAAAGAGCCTACGTGTCAACCACAGATTTTACCTTTGAAAGAGGCTATAGGAAATAAAAATGACATCATTATCTTTTTACACCACCAAAAATATTCTTTTTAACGTCAGTCGGTTATCACTTGGTCAATTACCCCTATTTCTTAGGAATATTAGTAAAGCAATAAATATATCAGATATTTCATGCACTGAAACAGAAAAAAATAATAATAAAATAAAATAAAATAAACAGCAAAGAAAAAAAGAAAGAAAAGAAAACATATAAATTTTTTTATATATTTATTTTTTAATTTTCCTTTCTCTCTAACTACATCATTGTATTTAATCCTTGAAATGGAAAAAACCCTAATAGGGGTTCTTGTAAGAACCAATCGCCGCCGGTTTGGTTAGTTTGTTTGTAGAGCGAAAAACAGCTTTTCTCTACTTCTCTGTGTTCTTCTTCTATTTATGTTCTCATTCTTCGTCTCTTTGATCTCAGTTTTGAGCTTCCTTTTCGGCTGTTTTTTGTTGGTTTGTTTTCTGAAACCAAACAAACATGTTGCGAAGAATCGCTTTCAATAATTTATGATTGGGTAAATGTTTTGGTTTTTGGTTGTTGGTCGTTGTTTCTGGAGCTGATCATGTTGTGGGGTTTTATGGCGGTGGAAGATTTTAGGTTATGAATATGATGATCAGGTTTGAGGAAGCAGTGTTTGAGGTTGTAAATATGGGGTTTTGAGGTTTAAAGTTTCGATTTTGGGATTGGTTTTTTGGGGGGTTTTGAGTTTTAGTTTGGAGCTCTGTTGAGTTTATGGTAGAAAAGAGCTTTCTTTGACGAGAATGCTTTCGGAATTGGGACGAAGACCGATGCTTGGAGGCAACGAGGGATCGTTTGGGGATGAATTCGAGAAGGAGATTGGGCTGCTCCTCCGCGAGCAGCGTCGGCAAGACGTCGACGATCGCGAGCGCGAGCTGAACATGTGTCGGAGTGGATCGGCGCCTCCGACGGTTGAGGGCTCCTTAAGCGCGGTCGGAGGGTTGTTCGGTGGCGGCGGAGCGGGTGCCGCCTCGTTTGCGGAGTTCGCCGGCGCTCAGAATAATGGAAATGGGTTTGCGTCGGAGGAGGAGCTCAGGTCTGATCCGGCTTATCTCTCGTACTATTACTCGAATGTGAATCTGAATCCGCGGCTGCCGCCGCCTTTGCTGTCGAAGGAGGATTGGCGGTTCGCACAGAGGTTGAAAGGAGGAGGGAGTTCTGGGGTGGGAGGGATTGGAGACAGGAGAAAAGGGAGTAGAGCGGCTGAAGACGGCGGTGGCGGTGGCCGTTCGCTGTTTTCGATGCCGCCGGGTTTCAACTCTAGGAAGCAAGAGAGTGAGTTCGAATCGGAGAAAGTGCGTGGCTCCGCTGAGTGGGGTGGTGATGGACTGATTGGTTTGGCGGGTTTAGGACTTGGGAACAAGCAGAAAAGCCTTGCTGAAATCATTCAGGTGGTTTATTTCTACATTCATGTTTGTTTTTAAATTTTAAGTTCCAACTTTTCTATTAATGTTGTTGCTCTCTTACAGTATGTCTGCGTTTATTTCGTCATATTAGTTGGGGCGTATTGTATGGCTGTGTTTTGCCTATGGATTGTATGGTTTGAGCTAGCTTTATTGTTTTCAGTTGATTTTTTTCTCATCGACAAACTGCAAGTTTTAGCAAAGTATAATCTTATTAGATTGTAAAGTTCCAGTCTTTATTGAATAATGGCATGTGGTCGCAGATGTGATTAACCTGTCTTGGCTAGCTTGGAAGTATTATTAAATGCTAGTTTGTATTTGTTCTTTAATGTCGCTTACTCGCTTGCTTGGATCAGTTACCATACCATTACGGTTATATAGATCTCCGATGTTTTGACGAGAGTTTATCTTCGCTTTACTATAAATCAGTTCATGTTGATGGGTTTTCTGGCAATGATTTAGTTATTGCATAATTTAACTTGGCTTTGGTCCCTTATATAAAGGGACCAATCTTGTGGTGCGTCAAGTGGAATTGTGTTGTCATATGCTATTTTTTTTCCATTAGCTTTTTCTATGTGCATCGTGTAGAGTGTCATGCATGTCAATACATGCCTAGAGTCAGGTTGACATGGTTGGAAGCCTTTTTATAAAACTGCATTATTAAAAGCGTTTCTGTGGTATTTGCATCTCAAATTAAATCAATAAGTAAGGACAATTCATGATGGGTACTAAAAGATGGGCGCATATGTACAAGAGGTGCAATTCTTCTATGAAGTGTGGAAACTGGTGTTTAGTTCATTTATAGTATCCTTTATGCACGTATGATGTAAATAGTGTACTGTGAGAGGGTCATCAAGTACATAAGTTGGGAACTGAAGTTTCTGCATTCCTGAGTTTGAAAGTATGTTTCTCCTTGTTTCTGACCGAGAGAGAAGATTTATTAAATTTTTGCTATATAATTGGAAACATTCCTAACTTCTGTCACGATTGATTCAGATTCATTACTCTATAAGACAGTTTGTTTCTTTTTCTTTTTTTTAAAACCTGTTTTATATTGCGTTAATTTAAATTTGACTGCTGTGCAGGATGACTTGGGGCGTGCAACCCCTGTTAGTGGGCTCCCTTCTCGTCCAGCCAGTCGGAATGCTTTTGATGAAAATGTGGATACTGTAAGTTCAGTTGATGCTGACCTGGTACATTTACACCATGATTTGAGGAATTCGGATACTCTACAATCCGGTGCAAATGGTATTAAGGGATCATCTGTTGTTCAGAGTATGGGCGCGCCTTCTTCGTACACTTACGCTGCTGCTCTGGGTGCTTCTTTGTCACGAAGCACCACTCCGGATCCCCAACTTGTTGCTAGGGCTCCTAGTCCTTGTATTACACCAATTGGAGGTGGGAGAGTTAGTGCCTCAGAAAAGAGAAGTGTTATCAGTCCAAATCCAAACTCCTTTAATGGTGTCTCATCTGGCATTAATGAGTCTGCAGATCTGGTAGCTGCATTATCTGGCATGAACTTGTCAACAAATGGTGTGATAGACGATGAAAACCATTTGTCATCACATATGAGACAAGATGTTGACAATCATCAGAGTTATCTCTTCGGTCTGCAAGGTGGTGAGAATCACAAGCAACGACATGCATACCTTAAGAAGTCTGAATCTGGGCAGATGCACATACAATCTAATCTGCAATCAGCAAAAGGTTCGTTTTCTGATTTGGGTAAGAGCAACGGTAGTGGGGCAGATATGAGCAACTCCTCTGTGAGGCCAGTCGAGATTCATAAATCTGCTGTTCCTTCTAGCAATTCTTACATGAAGGGATCTCCCACATCCACTCTTAATGGTGGTGGCTTACATGCTCAGTACCAGCAATTTGATGGTTCAAATCCATCCTTCTCTAACTATGGTTTGAGTGGGTATTCCGTGAATCCAGCATTAGCATCCATGATGGCGGGCCAAATTGGCACCGGTAATGTGTCGCCTTTTTTTGATGGTGTTGCTGCAGCTTCAGGTGTGCCATCTCCTGCAATGGACTCGAGAGTGCTTGGAGGAGGTTTGGCATCTGGACAATCTGAATCACATAATCTTGGTAGAATAGGAAGTCAGATGGCTGGAGGTGGTCTTCAAACACCTTTTATGGATCCTATGTATCTTCAGTACTTGAGGTCATCTGAGTATGCTGCAGCACAACTTGCTGCACTTAATGATCCTTCTGCAGACAGGAGCTACTTAGGCAATTCATATATGAACCTACTTGAACTCCAAAAGGCATATCTTGCTCTGTTATCTCCCCAGAAGTCGCAATATGTTGGTGGGAAGTCTGGTGGTTCTAATCATCATGGTTACTACGGAAACCCCGCATTTGGTGTTGGAATTTCTTATCCTGGAAGTCCCATGGCAAGTCCTGTTATTCCAAATTCTCCTGTTGGACCTGGTAGCCCTTTGAGGCACAGTGAGCTTAATCTTCGTTTTCCTTCTGGGATGAGGAGTTTGGCTGGAGGTGTCATGGGAGCCTGGCATCTAGATGGTGGGTGTAACATGGACGAAGGTTTTGCATCCTCACTTCTAGAAGAATTTAAGAGTAATAAAACTAAATCTTTTGAACTTTCAGAAATTGCTGGACATGTTGTCGAGTTCAGGTGGGTGCTGCTTTTGAATCATTTTCTGATTCAGCAATTTGGTTCTATTCTAAAGATGGTCTCTTTCATTTGCATTTCACAATCAGTGCGGATCAATACGGGAGTCGTTTTATTCAACAAAAACTTGAAACAGCGACGACAGAAGAGAAGAACATGGTTTATCAGGAGATCATGCCCCAAGCTCTTGCTCTGATGACTGATGTATTTGGTAATTATGTTATTCAGAAGGTAACTTCTTTTTCTTTATCTATTTTGTAATTATTATGTGGAATGTGAGTTGTTGTTTAGAAGTACATAATACTGTGATTTTATTGTACTTGGCATCTTACGAAAGTGTCCGTTGGTGTTTGTATACAGTTTTTTGAGCACGGGCTTGCATCCCAGAGGAGGGAACTGGCCAACAAGCTTTTTGGCCATGTTCTGACACTAAGTCTTCAAATGTATGGTTGTCGGGTGATCCAAAAGGTACCATTAATTTTTACAAATGACAACATTTTTATATTATTACCTTGTGCGATACTTATGATTCTCAAATATGGACTTCTGCTCTTCTTGTTCTAAACTTACATAACATTAACAAGTCCCATTAACTCTTTAGTCTATTAACCATATTTATCTGCAATTTTTCGATTATTAGATTCATACTCTCATCAATTTCAAAGTACTTTTAGAGTTTGTGTATGTTTAATCAGAGTCTTAAATTCTTAGTAATTTTGGGTGTATTGATTTGGAACTCACCTCTCATGGGATAATGTCTAACGCATATATGTGCTTCCGAAGTCAGCTTTTTCTTACTTTTTTCTTTGTCCACCCTTCCTCCTTTCATATAATTTAATTAAGAGTGACCTAAGTTTAAAGTAACTCATTCCAATTCTCCAATATGGCTTCTGCAAGGTTTGATGTGATTCATGATGCTGGTGCTTATGAACTACGATAGATGAGATTATTAGATGTCTAATAGTATGTTTCCGCATTGATATGTTGCTTATATTCAGGCCATAGAAGTTGTTGACCTGGACCAGAAGATTAAAATGGTTGAGGAACTTGACGGAAATATCATGCGCTGTGTTCGTGATCAGAATGGGAACCATGTTATCCAGAAGTGTATTGAATGTGTTCCTGAAGATGCAATTCACTTTATTGTCTCTACATTTTTTGATCAAGTGGTTACACTGTCCACTCACCCATATGGGTGTCGTGTGATACAGGTTCATAGAATTCTTTACTATTCATGGTTTGTTTCTGATGATTTTTCCTAAGTTGACAGGATTATGCTGATCTCTTAATGTGGCAGAGAGTCCTGGAGCATTGCAAGGATCCAAAGACACAGAGTAAAGTTATGGATGAGATTTTAGGAGCTGTTAGCATGTTGGCTCAAGATCAGTATGGAAATTATGTTGTTCAGGTTCAATAATTTTCCCTAATAGTTGTTCTGTGGACGTTTGTCTGCTCTGATAATTAAAATCAATGAACTATATTTTGTGGTTCTCCCTTATTTGTGTGGATAGAAACTTTGATTTTTATTTTGATTTTTTTTAGTTACAAGATTTTGTGTTGACGTGTGTTGGTTAAGTCAGTCTTCTGCGGTCACTGTTCAACATCGTCCTAAGCAACTTTTACTTCTTTACTATCTTTTTTCCTCGGGTTCCATCACAATAATTTTAAACATCTACAAAGTTTCTTTTATATTGCATGCGAGCCTCTATCCTCAATATGATATTTTGTCAATGGTCAGAACTTGGCATTTCATGTTATGAGTTTCTGTTCTTAGAATACTGGGTTTGGGGGGGTGGGTGGTGGGGTTGGTGGGTGGGGTATTCTTAAGGAAAACCCCTTTCGAACTATGATGCATTTTAGATGTTTTCTTGTCCTTGTAGGAAAAGAATATCAAGTGGAATCCTTCTATGCCAGTATTGATGATCTGGGATCAATTTGACTGTGCTTGTTCTCTGAGTAGTGGATTCCTGTTCCTTTTCTTTTTTTTTTTAGGGTGGAATTATGGGCCGAATTTTTTTTGTGAGGCTCATCTAAAATCCTATTCCTTATCTAACGTTTAGGAGATCAGATGTGTCTTCCATTGTGATTTTATTGTACATTTTCTTTAATATGCTTCTTGATAAGGACCTACATTTACTGTGAACAGCATGTGCTGGAGCATGGAAAACCTCATGAGCGTTCATCTATTATCAAAGAATTAGCTGGGAAGATAGTTCTAATGAGTCAGCAGAAGTTTGCTTCCAATGTTGTGGAGAAGTGTTTAACTTTTGGCGGTCCTTCTGAACGCGAGTTATTAGTAAATGAGATGCTTGGTACTACTGATGAAAATGAGCCCCTTCAGGTTTGTCACGTCTTTATCTGCTTCAAAAATTTGTTCTTTCTGTTTGTCTTCTCTCTTTATTCTCTTGGCTTAGCTCTAGGAATTTCAGAAACAAAAGTTAAGAAATATGAACTTTACTTTTTTTATGGACTTCTCTAATATTGTTGATTCATTGCCTGCCTGAGTGTATACCACCTGACTGTCTGCTTTGAATACAGGCGATGATGAAGGATCAGTTTGCAAACTATGTCGTACAGAAAGTGTTGGAGACTTGTGATGACCAACAGCGCGAGCTGATCCTTTCTCGAATTAAGGTTCATTTGAATGCATTGAAGAAATACACTTACGGGAAGCATATTGTTGCACGTGTAGAGAAGCTTGTTGCTGCTGGGGGTGCGTATTCTTCCCTTTAAGATTTCCATGTCCATGTCTAACGTGTAGACTGTATGCATACATGTATATCGATCGTGTTCTCATGTGTAGCAAAAAACTCCTGTTTGTCTCCTTTTTAACGGATTGTCCAAATTGCTTGCAGAAAGGAGAATCGCGGCTCAGACTCCACACCCTGCATAGGAAAGAAAGAAGATGTTTGTACAGCTAACTGAGGCTAGTGTGAGATTCCTCCTTTCCTCTCTTTCTTCCGGTAGTTAGAGCAAATACACGGCTCTCTGCCTGTCTTTTGGAACAGGTTATGAGTTTGTTGGAAATAAAGATGTTGCTTGTACTTGGAAAGAAAAATTGTACATTGTGTAGTTTAAAAATTTTATACATAGAATCGAGCGAGGCTGAGGTTCAGATGTTGAGCACATCTATACTCCTGCAAGAGATGAGCGACTATACGAGTTTCTTTAAGGGTGTAAAAAACAAAACAAAAAAGATGAGAATATGTTGAGGTAGTTTGTTATCTTAACGTGACTGTACAAAATGTGCCATGTGGAGAGCTGTTTATGTTTAGGTGAGGCCAGTGTTTCTATTAATGTATGCTTATTAACGTTTCTCTTTTATGAAAAAACGCAATTTTCTATCGGGTTCAAGTTTCATATTCATGGCTTTCTTATCTGTATATTTTCCTTTTTCACTATTCAGTTCATTTCTGTGGATTTATTAATTTATGTGTATATCGTGCTATTATAAGCTTTTCTTCCCTTTTTTTCTCCCCTAAAAAAGTTGTTTGGACTTGGGAATTATTTTTGGATCCCATAGAAACAACGCAAATGTACAGAAACATTCATCTATTTTTAAAAAATTGACAATAATAATAGTTTATCAGAAGTGTTTCAAGAGCTTTCTGGATATTTTATTATAAGCAAACGTAGGTTTACTTTTTCAACCACTGAGCTTAATTATCCGAACCTGGTTGAAGAATTGTTTTTGCTGGAAAAGGAAAAAGATTTCTAAATCTTTATAAAGATGTTCTAAAGTTGACGTTTCTCAACGAAGTTAGTAAAATTGGTGTGATTTGTTATTCCTCCTCTTTAGCTGTGTACTTTGGTTAATCATGGAGTATCTTGTTCAGGTGACTTTGTTCTTCTTATTATCTTGTTGTTTTAATTACATTTCGGGCTTGTTTAGTTCGCTGATTTGAGTTTTTAATTCGAGTTAAAATGCGACTTTATGTGAATTTTTTACGGTAGTAAAAAAATTAAATGTAATTATTTTTTAAAATTTTTTACTGTAATAAAATTTGAATTTTAAACTCAAATTGGATCCTTCATATTACACTTGACGTAGTCTCTCTTTTTGCCATGGTCTCAGTACTACTCTCAATGTTGAGTCCCAATCTTGATGTCTAGAGTTGTGGAAAATAGATTACTGAACATAGTACCAGAACTATAATTCATACTTAATATTTAGACCTCGTGACCCGCCGGACTTTCAATTGTTTTTGTTTTTTTTTTTAAAGAGTTATATTTAGAAGTTAGGAATTGAAAGATCTTCTCTCTTTCAAATTGCTTATTTTGATCAGAGTCCCACCTTCAGTTAAACAAAGTTAAAAATAAATAAATAAAAAATGGAGAAAGCTTTCTCTTCATTTACCGATTCATATTTGGAAACGACGATTGTGGGACGAGAATTTCCCAGAAAAAAATAGAAAAAAATGAAAAATTTAGGCCCTGTTTAATTCTGTTTTGAGACTAAAAAATGAAAACGCAAATGTAAAATGCGTTTGGTGTAAAAGTCTTCAAAAAACAAAAACAAAAACGTTTGTCTTTTTTGAAAAACTGAAAACAGATGAAATCCGTTTTCATTTTCTCTCTCGTTCTTCACTCTCTTCTCCGATGTCCTCTTCTCTCTCTATCTCATTCTCTCTCCCCCTCTCTCTCCTCAACCTCGTTTCTCTCTCTATCTGTCACCTCTTTCTCTTTTCTCTCCTCTCTCTCCACGCCATCACGACGAATCTCCAAAGCATTTTTTTTCTTTTCTTGAGCAATTTTCTAGTTTTAGATGGGGAAAAAAATGACTGAGTCCCAGCCCTGATGAGCCCCACCCCCGCGCAACTCATCTCCGGCAAGCTCAGATCTGCAACCACCGATCCCACCCGCGCGACGCACCTCCTGAACTCAGAATTTGATTTTGAGATATTAATCTGTTTGGTTTCATTGAATAACTAGAAATGTTTGATTTTGATATGTGATTTTAATTTTAATTTTGGTAGATCTGGGTTTTTGATGAAGGGGAAGAAGCTGTTTAATTTTGGTAGTCTTCTCCTAAACTTGTTTGGATGGAGTTTTTGAGTCCGACCCGATTGGAAGAGCTTGGATTGGAGTGAGGATGTTCCTCGACTTCCATGGCCGTGGCTTCTTCTTCCATGTCGCTCTCGCTCTGTGTTTCTTGTCAAAGTGGAGCTGTAAGCTATGGAAAGGGAAGGGAAGGAAAGGCAGAACTCGGAAGCAGAGAAGAAAAACTTGTGATTTGTGTTTGGTTATTGGTTTTAAGTTTTTTTTTTTCAATTTTTAAAAGTTTTAAATATTATTATTATTATTATTATTAAAATTGTAATTAAATAAATAGAAGTATATAAATGACATTTCACATTTAAAAAAAAGTATACATGTTTTTAAAAATTAAACTACCAAACGCAATTTCAGTTTTTTTAAAACTGAAATCAATCTTTGAATAAAACTACCAAATGCATTTCAGAAATAATTTCAAAATGAAAATGAAAACGTTTTCATTTTCATTTTTATATAGAAAATAAAATCATTTTAAAACTAATTCTAAATGCACCCTTAGTCTTTACTTTTTACTGATAAATATCATGTTATTAATATAATTATTTATTAAAATAATTATGAATCAAAAATAAAAAATAAAAGTTTAGATTCATACACTTTTAATAGGTATTTGTCAAAATTACTCTAAAATTTACTCCCAAAGTTCGTGCCAAACAAAACTTCACCATTTTTTTGGCCATTGCTCAAGCGTTTGAGAAAAGTTCGATGTTTCCGAAAAAGAACACAAACCCCGTAAATGCAGGCCTTTTTAACTTTATCATTTGAATTCTCACTAATGCCATGAAAAACAACCAGAATTCTTGGCAGTTTAGAAGCCTCAATTACATTCACAAACGGATTTAAAGAAAAAAGCTGATTAAGTGGAAATATATTCATTTTCTAATCATCAAACTCAGTTTCCTCATCAACCTTTTGGCCGAATCCCCTAGGCCCAGCTCTCGCTCTCACCTTCTTCTTTTTCCCACTCTTCTTCTTCCCAGCTGCCTCCTCTTCTTTCTCAAACTTTTCCCTCTCCCTCTTCTGCAAGAAGTCCGTCACTCCTAAGTAGATAACCTGAACCACAATTAATTAACCCCACCAAAATCACAACTTTAGTCAAAATCACTCAATTGTAGTTAGGTTCTTATATATAGATATAGATATAGATATGATATAATTTATATAACTTACCCCAACGGTGAGAATAGACAAACCGACGAAGCCAACGATGAGAAGAGCAGAAATGACGAGGGAAGCATTGTCGTCTCCACTTGAGACGATCTGCTGGGAAGTGTCGAGTGGGGCGGTGGATTCTAAAGGTGGTGCTTCAGCTGAGGCTGTGGCGTGAATTCTCCAAATTGGGGTGGTTTTTTGTTTGATTTTGTGAAGTGGGTTGTGGAAAATAGTGGCTCTTTTGGATGATATTCTCGACGTTGGAGAAGAGAGTGAGATAGAAGATTTCTGGGTTCTAAGAAGTAAGTGCGGTTTTGGGTCTAAGGTGGAGAGGATATGGAAATCTGGCGGGGATAGAGATATGGATGTGGTGGTGGTAGCCATGGCTCATCTGACTGCTACCACTCTCTCTCCTCTCTCTCTCTCTCTCTCTCTCTCTCTCCCCCCTCTCTGCTGCCGTAGTTTGGGGCAAAACAATGCAAAACCAATGTCCAATAAAGTGGGAGGAAGTACAAGTCCAACGTGTCACTAGAAAGCCCTACAATTATGGTTATTGATCCAGCTAGAGTGAGTGAGGGAGTGGGCTTTTGGGCTTTTCATAATTTCCGGTTGTTGAAACCAATTGAAGATAGAAAAGGCCTGATTCATCGCAAAGGACAAAGGCCCTGGGAGTGTCCAACTCTTTTTAGCCTTAACCAACGTCATTTTTTGAATAGTTAGCCAACATTTTTTGAGGATATGAGTTTTTTTTTTTTCTTCCCAAAGAACTTGTAGTTGGGAAGAAAGATGCAATCTTCCAAGCATTAGAGGGTAGAGCAATTGATAAAAACAGAAGGAAAGACATGAAATGGTTTGGTGGAATGCCTACTTGCCTACATTTTTAAGGTTATACTTTACATTTGTTTCGGCATGTTTTTGTTTTTTTGGTTTTGACAACAACAATGAAAATGGATAAGGATTAAGACAACCGTCCCCGTGAAACTGGCCCAGTTATTTAAAACAAGGTATTGCCTCTACGACAAATCCAGAAGCCAAAAATTCTCTTAGCCAAAAAGGAACAAAACAATACCCCCACAAAATCAACCTGACAAACTCTACCTGTGTTTGAAACACTCTCAAGTCTCATGCTATTCTATATTATTTTTTTTTTTTATTTTGTTACGATTCTACTTACTATTTGCAACTAGTAAGAATTGTTTGTTTAATTGTTAAATTAAGTTTTTATAAATTTGTTGTATAATTGAAGCAGTTTTAATTGCAGGATCAATTTATTTTATATACTTAGGCCTCGTTCGTTTCGCTGATTCGAGTTTAGAATTCGAGTTTTGCTACAGTAAAAAGCTCTCACAAACAATCACATCTAACTTTTTTGCTACAGTAAAAAGCTCTCACATACAATCACATCTTAACTCAAATTCTAAACTCGAATCATCGAAACGAACGAGGCCTTAGAATTCAAATCATTAATTCTATAACAATATTTTTCTTTAATAAAAAATTTAAAATTTAAAAGCGAAAATAAAAAATTATGCTAACCCAATAGGTGATTAAAACTCACTGTCAGTAGAAGTTTCTTTTTCTTTTTGTGTTTTTTTTGTCACTTTCGTTTTGTACGACTTAGAATTCTCTGCCGTACGATTTCCACCCCGAGACTTGTGCAACGTCATCATCATCCACATCGAACGGCATGCACTTTGTGTACTATGTTGTGTCAAGTGTCCACATTTCCCTCGCCAGCTGTCCTCCAATATTACAGAGTTGTTCTTTTACGACGAAAGTCAGAAAAAGTTTGAACTCGAGTTACAACTTTATTTAAGTTTATGTTCTTTTGTAAAATTTGAGTTTGAACTCGAGTTTGAGGCTAAACTCGAGTTCAAGTTTCCCCTTCAACTCGAGTTCAGAAACTCGAACTCAAATTAATGAACAATATTTTTTCTATTCTTAAAAATACTATAACTTTTTCGTTTTAATTCTGATTGAGATGATTTTTTTCTATGTATTCACAACGAAAAGATGAATAAAACCCCTCATATACCCTATTAAAATTTTTCATCACCATTGAGTTTTTATTAAAATACTATATAAATACAAATTTAAGGGGCTGTTCGGCAGTCCATTTTCTGAGTCAAAAATTAAAAAAAAACAACTCAAGTTACAACTTTATTCAAGTTCATGTTCTTTTAAGTTTGAACTCAAGTTTGAATTCGAGTTTGGGACTAAAACTCGAGTTCAACTTTCCCCTTCAACTCGAGTTCAGAAACTCGAACTCAAATTAATGAACAATATTTTTTCTATTCTTAAAAATACTATAACTTTTTCGTTTTAATTCTGATTGAGATGATTTTTTTTCTATGCGTTGACAACGAAAAGGTGAATAAAACCCCACCCATATACTCTATTAAAATTTTCCATCAGCATTGAGTTTTTATTAAAATACTATGGGCTTGTTCTTTTGATGTTTTTGAGTTAGGTAACTTGAGTGTAAATTTTGAGTTGAGTTTGAGTTATAACTTGAGTTAAAGTTGTAATTTGAGTTTGTGTTTGGTTGTGTACATTTGAGTTATGGTTTGAGATAAGAATTTTTTTGAGTTTGTGTTTGAGTGAGTCAAAACTTGAATTTGTATTTAGATAGTATTTTAATAAAAACTCAATGCTGATGAAAAATTTTAATAGGGTATATGGGTCGGGTTTTATTCGTCTTTCGTTGTCAATGCATAGAAAAAAATCATCTCAATCAGAATTAAAACGAAAAAATTATAACATTTTTAAGAATAGAAAAAATACTGTTAATCAATTTGAGTTCGAGTTTCTGAACTCGAGTTGAAGGAGAAACTTGAACTCGAGTTTTAGTCCCAAACTCGAGTTCAAACTTTAAAGAACATGAACTCGAATAAAGTTATAACTCGAGTTACTTTTTTTGAGTTTTTCACTCAAAAACATCCCAGCCGAACAGCCCCTATCTAAATACAATTCAAGTTTTAACTCAAACACAAACTTAAAAAGATTCTTATCTCAAACCATAACTCAAATGTATACAACCAAACACAAACTCAAGTTACAATTTTAACTCAAGTTATAACTCAAACTCAACTCAAGATTTACACTCAAATCACCTAACTCAAAAACGACAAAAGAACAAACCCTAAGTTTTGACCCACTCAAACACAAACTCAAAAAAATTCTCAATTCAAATCATAACTCAAATGTGCATATCCAAACACAAACTCAAGTTACAACTTCAATTCAAATTATAATTCAAATTCAATTCAAAATCATCACTCAAGTCATCATAACTCAAAAATACAAAATAACAACCCCTACATTATTCTCTCTTCCTATTGGCCCTAAAACAATACACAATCTACCAGTGGACAGTCCTAAAGTCGGTGATAGAGAATTCCAGCCCCCTCTCAATTACTGAAATAACCTCAAAAAAGTATAAGAACCTTGCTTACTTGACCACTACCAGTCTACCAGACACTTTTTACGTGGCCTAATCTTAAGGCTATTTTGGGTAACTTAATTTTACAAGTGTAAAGCACGCGCAGACCGCGTGGGATGGGGCTAGCCTTATCTGAACGGTGAAGTATTACTGGGAAAAATAAGGAGCAATCTACGAGACGTGTGGATTAATCAAGTGGCGAGTATTTTTGAGAATTTGGTGGTGGCGAGTGGGGAGTTGGGATTAAAAAACGTGTTTAAGATATTAGAAGATCAAAAATATCTGGCTAAGTCGTCCACGTTGGCACTAGCTCTTGAGTGATCTGGAATCTGATATTGCACTTTTTCTTTCCAAAGCTCAAAATAGAAAATTACCATTTTCGTTTCTTTCATTTTCTCTTCTCCCAAACACACCCCTTAGCCCCCGAATCTCATGAAATATCTTCTCGGAGAAACACATCAGATTGTTTTCTTCTCTCTCCCTTGTTTTCCTTCCCTTGATTATCTCTGACTCGATCTGGTTTCACTTCCTGTTCCAGTTCCGAATATGATCTCCAAACCCTAAGCTCAAAGGCGAAAACTTTTCTGGAATTTCTGCAATTCCGATTCCGGCCTTGGGTTTGGGTATGGGTGAGGAGGTGAAGATGAGCGAGTACGAAGGCGGTGTCGATTGCGGCGACGAGGAGCGAGTTCTGGAGTGGGAGGCGGGACTACCGAGCGTTGACGATCTGACGCCGCTGTCTCAGCCGTTGATTCCGCCGGAGCTGGCGTCGGCGTTCAGCATCTCACCGGTGCAGTACCGCACGCTCCTCGACGTCAATCAGGCCTCGGAGGACACGCTCTCGTCGCTCCGCGGCATTACCCAATCGCCCAACATCTTCAAGTCGTTAGGCGAGAGCCACGAGTCGGCGGTGGTGGAGGCCGACGAGAACGATCGCGACGGTTCCGGATCCGATTCGAGGAAGTCTCGGAAGATCATGGACTGCGCCGAGGAGGACGATTCCGCACTCCCGGTTGATAATTCAGGCGACGACCCCGCCGCACGGACGCTGAAGCGGCCTCGCCTTGTGTGGACCCCGCATCTCCACAAGCGGTTCGTCGACGTCGTCGGCCATTTGGGGATCAAAAACGCCGTGCCGAAGACGATTATGCAGCTGATGAATGTTGAGGGATTGACCCGCGAGAACGTCGCTAGCCACCTGCAGAAGTACCGCCTCTACTTGAAGAGGATGCAGGGGTTGTCCACCGAGGGCCCCTCGGCATCGGACCAGCTTTTCTCGTCTACCCCGGTACCACAGAGCCTCCACGAGTTTAGCACCGCCAGCGGTCACTCCAACGGACACAGCCATGGAAATGGGCATTTCCAGGTCCCGGTGCCGATTCCGTACCCGCCGGTGATGCCCATGCCGGTTCTGGGAATGACTCATCATGGTCATGGCCATATGGGCATGCCCGTGGGGGCACCGCCTAAAGGTGCTGTAGGGTACCACCATGGGTTCGAGTCTCATCACCACCATCATCATCCGTTTAATATGTTGCAGCAGCAGCGAGATTGGTCTGGGAATAATTATGGTTCGGTTGTAACTTATCCACATGTGGCTCGTAGTGATAAATAGAATCTTCCACATATTGTTGACACCATAACCGGAGGTGAGTTTAGTTTATTGGTCTTACTCTGCTTTCACCCTGCCATTGTGTATACTAATTTTGTCACCTTGCATTCTGTGTTATTCGATTGTAATATTTGACGTATTCTATACGTTGAATTTATACTTCTGTGAACCGAGGTTAGGCTCTTGATAGCCTTAGTTTTGGGAACTTGGTGTTGTTATGATTGTTTAACATGTGATGTGACGGGCTTCTCTAAAGAAACAGGTGATGTGGGGATTCGAGGGCACTTTTAGCTGGTCTCCTGCTGTTCCTTTGCGTCTTTTGGGGCCATAGTAGTTCCAATTCCCTATAAGTTTCTCTAGCACTTCATACTTATATATGTATAGATATTTAGATGATTAAATGACCCGCATTAGGAGTAGCAGAACTGTATTTTTAAAAGTATCAGCTTTTGGGGGTCCTCATTCTTGTAGTTTAACTTGTATGGCATTGTTTTTGTTGATGGGTGCATAAGGATTTCAGGTGATTTATAGTTTGTTCTTGTGTAGATTCAGAAGTTGAGCAAGTTGGTTGAAGCTAAGTCTTGGAGCTCAACTGACAAGCGTGTGAAGGGTTATTAGGTATTACATGGATACACTTTAGAGGCATAGCATACTCCAATATAACTTGGGGTTTATGTTTATATGCTTGTACACACATATATATGCACATACTTGATAACAGCAGGAGGTTCATGGTGTATTATTTATTATTCTGCATATCAGCAGCCTTTAGGTCTTAAATTAACATATTTTTCAATTGATGTATGTCATTCCCTTTTTCATTGATTAATGTATTAAATAAGGCTTCTTTTCAGCAGCAAAGCTAAAAGCCAATATAAAAATTAAGCAAAAGTATCAGCTGTTCATCCTTGCTGGGTCGAATGCCTTAAATCAACTTTTCGCCTCTTTTATCATGTATGAAAATTCTTTCTGCTTCTACATATTCATTAATAAGTGATTGACATATTTATTTTGTGTTTTCGTTTTTGCTGACATGTTAGATGTTTCTGCTTCCTCTGATGGTCTTTTGAATTGCGAGTTTGTTTTAATTCCTCGTACATATTCTTGGGATTTTATTTGTGAATGGTTCAGTTATCAATACACATGTTCTTTCTATTTTGCTTTTAGTAGTTTGTATTGTTGGATGCACTTTGAGATCATTTCTTTGTAAAGTCGTTAGTTCTTGTGGGACTTTTTAAGAAAATTTTTCATGTTTGACATTGTCGCTCCCACTCTGAATGGTTGTTGGAGAGCTTGCAGAATCTTTGACAATTCACAATGCATAGTAAGAAACCTTTCCTCTTTTTTCTTTTCTATTTCCTATTGAATAATTCACTGATGAGTTGGATAGCGCACACAGATATCAGTTTCTTCCTTTGATGCAAAATAGAAAAATTTGCTTTCAAATTATTCTCGTCGCACATAAACATTTTTTTTCCTTTTGTTTTTCCCGTCCATAACTTGGCGAGTTAAGCCGTTTTCTGGGGGATTCTCTACTATATAACCTGACATTGTCTGCAAATATACAAAGTATAAACACAATGAATGGTATTACATACTTTTGAAGTGTCATGGGAGACCCCCTGGCTTATAGAATCAGTTTGAGAAAATTATCGGTTTATAAGTAGATTACTTTGGCAACAGAATATTTTCTCTTGAAATACAATGGTGGAAAAGAACTGCAAATCTTCCTCATGATTTTGGAACATGTTCCATATGCTGTCATAACAGAATATGTTCCTAATTTTTTAAAATTTAGGACCCATACAGGACTTACCATTAGTGATTATACCGAATTGATTGATGGGATATAAAAGACTACGAGAAATAAATTAATTAAAGAAATGAAAAAAGAAAAAAAAAATTCCCTAGATACCAACCTGTCATAGACTTTTAGCCGAGCTTTTCTACATGACCACATCTTTTTCCCGAGTGGAGATGTTATGTATTCCTTTTCTTATAATGCTACCGGAAGGTAATTTACTACTAGACCCCTATTGTTATTCCCAAGTAAAGGTTTGAGTATTGAACTTGTGGTATCATTGTTATCCTACTTCCCCAGATTCATGTTCCTTTGAAACGTTTGAGTTGGTTATGTTTTAAGACTTACAAATTAATGTTGCATCAAACATGAACGCAGATGCATCTTGTTCCACATGATTCCCGAGGCAGTTCATTCAAGTTTGTGAGCCTGTACAACATCAATTGATTCTGAATTGCTGCTATACATATAGATGTAGTGCAGCCATAAGTGTATTTATGTTTTGGATTAAATAATTCCTACTGCACTTCATATATTATGATTTATCTATTCTATTTCATTTCCTAAACTTGTTTCTTGTGCTTGAAAAGCATGTCAGGCTGAAGCCTACGGTTTAAAATAATATGTACTGAACCAAATGTGTGAGCTTTGACTGATCTAAGATTGACCTGTAGCATTGTGCTTAATGTTTCCTGTTGTTGCTACAAACTGTGGAGTCTCTTTTACCGGATGATCCATATTATGGTCAAGTATTGTTCACTACTATGCGATCAAATTATCTGCGTTGACCGTTACTTGTGAAGTAGTATTTGTGTTAATATCACGAAGAAATAAGGAAACAAGAATGAATTTACTGTAAAATCAATTGGCATAATCCTCCGAAAGTGTTGATTGGCTAGTACAGAAGCATATACTGCGAAAATGTTCTTGCGAAGCCTTTGTAACACATCAGATGGTTTCTATCCAACTGCACCCTTGAAATTTTCTCAATCTTTTTCTAAACGTCGTTTTCTTCAACCTTGCAACGTTTCCCCAGCTGCCGGCATCAGCATATAAACCTGACAGCAACAACTTGTTTCCTGCACTTTCGGGCTCTAGCTCCGACAAATGCCTAGCTGCTATTTCAGCAATATCTATATTCCCATGATTCCTGCAGGCCCCTAGTAATGCTCCCCATACAAACAAATCTGGTTCAATTGGCATTGCCTTGATCATATCATAAGCTTCGTTGAGTTTTCCTGCTCGGCCGAGAAGATCGATCAAGCATGCATAATGCTCTAGCCTTGGAATGATTCTGTACTTCTCTTGCATCAAGTCGAACAGACTTTGTCCTAGATCAAGCATCCTAGCATGGCTACAAGCAGTGAGAACTGCAGTAAAAGTAAGATGATCAAGTTTCTTTTCATCTTCCTTCTCCATCTGGTTGAAAAGCTCAATAGCTTCATTACAATACCCATTATTCGCGTATCCAAATATCATTGAATTCCAAGTGGCAGTGTTTCTCTCGGACATCTTGAAGAACAATCCCCTCGCTTCATCAATGAATCCGCATTTTCCATACATGTCAACTAGAGCACTCCTCACAAATATATCTTTTTCAACTCCAATAACTAACGCATGCCCATGAATCTCCTTTCCAAACCTAATGTTTGCCACAGCAGAACAAGCAGACAAGAGACTACTTATAGTAGCTGAAGTTGGACAGAACCCATGATTTAACATCTGTTTAAATCTGTCAAAAGCTTCCTTATTTCGAAAGTTCTGCACTAACCCAGATATAACCGAGGTCCAAGATACATAATCAGGCTCAACTCCTTTATCATGCATCAAGTCAAAGAGATGAGAAACCATTTCATCTTCGCCCTTCTGCGAAAACCCAGCAATCAAAGTGTTCCAAGTCACTAAATTAGGCGTCAATCCCCCTACTTCCATCTTCTCCACCAAACTTAATCCTTTTTCAGGTTGTCCATCCTGAGCATAGCCTGAAACAAGAGCATTCAATGCCACCAAATCTTTCTCCACCATTTCGTCAAAGATGCAACGCGCTTTTTCTACTTGTCCAGTCTTTGAGTACATATCAATCAGTGCACTAATAACAAAAACATCGAAACCAAACGAGCACTTGAGGATCACAGCGTGCACTACCTCACCAATCCGTGCATAGAAAAGATGACCGCACGCCTTGAGAACGCTAGGAATGACAATTATATCATGCCTCAATCCCTCTCTCTGCATCTTGCGGAATACTTCTAGCGTCTGCTGATAAAACCCGCAGCGAGCATAGGCCCCAATAAGGACGATCCACCGGCGAATGTTTGTTTGAGGAATTTCGTCGAACAATTTGCGGGCATCAGTTGGTTTGCCACACAAGGTGTAGAAAGCCATGAGCTTGGAGGCGGGATGGGTCCTACGGGACAAGCCCTTGATGACCAGGTGGGCGTGGAGAGCTGTTCCGGAGCGCAACTCTCTATCATGAGCGTAGATTTCGAGGACCTTCGCATAGGCGTCTGGTGAGGTCTGATACCTACGGTGAATTATGGTGATGTTCCGGTGGAATGCTGGCCCTTTTATGCAACCGCGCATTGCGTGGGGAAGCAAGCAACGACACACACTTTGATCAAAAACCAAAACGAGGCACTTTGCTGTGGAACCCCATTCAGCAAAGCCATAAACGCTTGTGCCATTTATGGCTTTGTCATCACTTGGTTCATGATGACTTTGGCACTGGACCCACTCCAAGCCAAAGCAATCCAGGCCATTTGATAATAATTGCTTTAGGAGATTTCAATGTACTCGACTAAAGTTTGTATTTTGTACTAGTCAAAACAAAAGGGTACTAATTCAAATTCATGCACTTTAAAAATAATTTCAACATTTTTCTCTTGAAGTTTATCTTATAGGCATGATGTATCAGAATTAATCAGTAATATGATGGTCACATGGTTAATTCCATTGAGTTTTTAATGTTTTTGTGACTGAATGGCCAAACATTGAAGGATGAGCATAGCTTAGGGTGTAATCTATAATATAGCTTTGAGGGTCCATATATCTAATTGTAGAATCATATTAAATAACAAAAGATAATTTAATGAAATCTAATAAAAAAGCATTGTAGTGTATTTGTTCATATCTATCAATAATTTTCTCAAAATTAAAATTTAATATTTCCTCCCAAAAAAAGAAAAGAAAAACTACAGAATTAATTTGTGAACAAATTTTTTTTTTTTTTTTTTTTTTTGCAAATTCTACAATGAAACTCTAAAAATAACTTTCACCGATGGAATTATATTTTTTAATCATTAAATTAATTTTTTAAAAATTAAATTTATACAAATTTATATTAAAAATTTATAACAACGTCACATAAAATTGTTCATACCGTCAATTTAACAGTTAAAAAATAAAATTTGACCGGTGGAAGTTTTTTTTGGATCTCACATCAGAGGCTGCTTTTTTATTTTATTATATATATATATAATAAAAAATTGGTCTTTATTATGAGGCCAACAAGAAGAGGTTAAGTACCACGTTTGTCTTCAATCAGAATATCAGATAGCCATAGAAGGTTTGAGGCCACCAAGAGAAAGCTTTGCCTTGAACACACCGAACTCTAATCTCAGCGACAACTGCCATCCGAGGACATGAGCTTACAAAAGGCGTCGGACATTATTCATTCACGAAGAACATGCGTGGCTTGTCTCTTCCTCTAACTCCGGACCCTTCTCCTCTCTGTTTCTTCAATCTGTCCCCGATATCTCCTCTTAGAAGATCTTCTCTATTCCGATTACAAAATCATGCGAATTTCTCAATACCCATTTGCAGATACAGCTCGATTCATGCATTTAATGTGTTCTTGCGCTCTAGAAGGTCCTCAACGCCAAGTTTATGGGCCTTAAAGAGAAAAAGCAGGAATTTTGTTGTAAGGGCGAGTCGCAGAGAATCTCCTTACGAAGTTCTTGGCGTTTCCCCTTCTGCTTCTGCGGGTGAAATCAAGAGGGCTTATCGGAAACTAGCTCTCAAGTATCATCCTGATGTCAATAAGGAGGTATTTTCTTTAAGTAAATGCTTTGGACAGCTTTGCTTTTGTTCAATTTAAAAATTTTCATTTTGGGTATAATTTTCAAGAATCCGGTTTTGGTTAGATTGGTTTTGCTTTGAAAATACTTGGTAAAAGTGATTGTGGTTTTGTATGGAGATTGCAATTCTATTTTGTTGTTGGTGTCCTCTTATGTACAAATGGCAAGTTATGTTCTTGATTTTGTTAATTCATTTTCCAAAAATTAATGAGAATTTTTTAAGTAAGCCATCGTCAGATCACTTTAGGAAAAGAAAAAAGACACAGGAAAAGGATGAGCTTGTTGCTCAATATTTACAGTTATGGCGTCTCCTAGTTACCAACAGAAGACGTGGATAATAACCTACTCATTTCACTTTCTTTTCTGTACCAATTGTGTTTTATGTTCTGCAATACATTTGGAACCCAGTGGTTATTGGTTTTAAAAGAATTGTTTTTGCAAAGTCTCATTTTTTTTTTTTCCTTTTATCATGCATGTATAAGGGAAATTTGAAAAATTGGTGATGGTAATAACAAGAAGAATAATAACAATAGCAGTTACCATGTTGCTTGTATCCGCTTTTGTTTTTTGGGTTTTCTATAAGTTGCTTCATTGTGCAAATTCTTTATTTCACAGGCAAATGCACAGGAGAAGTTTATGAGAATTAAACATGCATACAATACGCTCCTGAATTCAGAATCACGCAGGAAGTACGATGCTGGAAGTCGCGGATCTGATTTTTCCTATTCTTCTGCTCAAAGAAGTAGGGTTTCACAAGAGGAAGAAGAGTTTTACGGATTCGGTATGTACTTTTGTTGCCAATTTTGTTTCTTACACACTCAAACACATATAAAGATAATGGAAATCTTATTGACATCAAAAGCTAATTGATGTGCAATAATTTGACTGTTTCAATGCCAACTCTAATTCAATATGGAGTATTATGCTGGAATTCATGTGGATTCCTTGCACTTCCGCCAAAGTCCTCAAACAGCCAACAACGAAATTTCTGACCTTGTGCTGTCAATCACCTTGTTTTACATAGCTTTGGGTATCCTTATTTGTTCCCTTCATGAATGCAGGTAATTTTTTGAGAGATGTTCAAATAACAATAGGTAGTTTTGTCCTCTTCACAAGCAGTCACATTGGCCTTGAACTTGCATTCTTCAGAACGTGTGGGAGTTATTTCTTTTCCCCTTTGTATCGTGAGTAATTTAGGTGTGTCTGGTGTTGCAGAGGACTTCTTCAGGGATCTTCAAGAAGAATTCAAGAACTGGGAGGAAAATTCATCGAAAGGAAAGCCAAAAAGCCTGTGGGAGGAATTGGCGGTAAGAACTACTATTGAATTGCAAATTTAATGCATACGAGCATATGATTATTTATAACTTTTTAACAATTCATGTTCATGAAACCTTTAATCACTTGTGAATTTACACTCTGCAGGAAATTGGAGAAGAGTTTGTAGAATTTCTCGAGAAGGAACTCAATGTATCAGATAGCGAGACCGAAACCTATAATTACGATGCAGGGCCTCAGAGTCGTGATACTTCAGCAAGTCCTGGGACAGAGAAAACTGAAGCAGGCAAAGGAAGCAGCATTGAGGACGACATAGATGAGATAGAAGCCACTCTTGCTCGGTTAAAGAAGGAATTGGGTTTGTAGTAGGGTCAACTTTTTGTTTGAAGAATTCATTATCGAAGGATAAATGTTGTCACTCTAAATATTCTAGAGAAATGGGTGATTTCAGCTCTTAAACACCAGCAAGTGTCAAGTGGCCATCGCAAAAGTCTCATGATTCTATTCATTTCTGGACAGTTACAGATAGAAGTTGGCCTCCACTGATTTCAAATTGCCAAGAGGCAGATCTTACAATGCTGGCGAAAGCGTTATTCTTTACTCTCATTGCTCATCATTTTTGTCGGCTGTAGAAAATATTGAATGCTACCACAACAATAATCGCTTGGAATGATGCTATGACCTCTTACATCTGTTTTTGTAATCTTTTTTACTGTTGCAATGAAATCTCACGAGCTTGTTAAACAATTTATACTGGAAAATATAAATATCCTCTTCCGGATTCAACAATAGGCACTGACAAACCCAGATACAAAGTCTTCAATTTGGAAGAATTCCTTGGTGTCATACGACTATATAAGCAGGCAATATATATATATATATATATATATATATATTAAAAAGGTTGGCCATATTTTCCGAAATAGCAAATTATTACAAGGTCTATTCATTTGAATAATAACCAAAATGGAAAAATCCCATTCCATTTGGATCACACGTCTATTGTCTAGTTTAAAGCAAAACCATGAAAAGTTGTTTAAATGCACTTGGTCGGAACTTCGCTCTCTTTCTTTCACAATATCCTAAGAAGCCGAACATCATAAACAAAATTAACAATCTACTCGCATCTAAAACCTCTCTCCAAAGCGGAAAAATACAGCACCAGTGCCGGAGTTATGATCAACAGCATACTCTGCGCGCACTAGACCTAGTTTAACTCCAGCACCGTAAGATGACCCATGACCCATTCGCCTGTAAACCTCTGTCGGGTTCCCCTTCACATCTTTTGAGCTTCCTAGATCATTTCCATGCTCAACAAATGCATATACATGTGTACCTTGCACAGGTATCCGAAGCTCGGCTGCAAGCTGAACATAACATTACCCGAAAAGAAATTGAAAAGTTAGGTCTGTTTCTGCTCTCAACTCATAGTCCAATATGAAAACGATAAATCATTTTTGTGATTGCTAGTATTACTGTAACCTTTTCCGAGTAAAGTAGCTCTTACCTCAACGATGTTTCTCGCTGCGCCTATCTCACCCATGTTATAACCTCTCACAGAATAGGGGCCACCAAGAGTGAAGGCATCATAACTTGGAAGGTCGCCAACACAGCCACCATAGTGCCCATGGAGTACAAGAACAGGTGGGGGTGGTTTACCAGCACCCTCCTCTACTTGCTTTAGCTGGAAAAATTTAGTCAACGTCAACTGATGACGGTTAAAGAACGGAAACTTGCTGCCGATACCGAGACCTTGGTCCACCTACAATTTTGTAAAGAGTTACACAAGTTAGAGAATAAACATATTTCATATGAAGTTAGACAAAACAGAAAACAGTTTATGATGATGTGTCTAGGGATTTTCTATACTTGCACACACTCTTTGGCTTTCATTACCTTGACACTGGTTATAAACTAAAAAAACATGGACACAATGAGCAACTAATAATATGATGATAGACCTCCTGTGTGCTTTACTTATGCACGAAGGAAGAAGGGCAGGATGAATGGTGTTGCTCAAGAAAAGGAACTGCAGAAGGACGAAGTGCAGGGCTCGGTTCAAGCTAATGGAGCAAGTGTGGAGCAGAAGTTGGATGATGAGTGGGCAATGAGAAGGTTGGGCTGGCAGGGAATGTTGGCTTGGGCTCTGGATTGTGTCCTAATTGAGAGGGAGTGATGTCAGCTGATGTCAGGGTCCTAGGAGTTTGGGAGAATTCTGTTAGAAAGTTTGTTAGTAGAGTGATGAAAAAAACGTGAGCTGGGTTGGTGTGAGAGGGCATCAATCATTTTGCTTAGTGAGAATTTAGACGAGCTTAGGCTCTAGGAGTGCAAGGGTCTCTCGAAAACCCCATATCTTGTATTCCTTCCTAATTTCTCATTAGTAATATCAGTTAATTCCAGTTCTGATCGATCATTTGCTCTGTTTAATTGCTTGAACCTGATAATTGTTTGCTGGTTCTATCATATGACCACCCGTATGTATAAGCTCAATGCCTTTTCTTATCGCTAACTAGTGAGAAGTAGATTTACACACAAACACACGCGATATCAGCTAAACTGGTGTCTTTGGCTAGTTATGACATGAAAAAGCAACACAAACATATAAGAAAGTGGCCCTTACCTGAAATACATTTCTCTGACCAACTATAGTACCATTCACAAACTTAGTATTATCACGCGTGATATTTGCCTGAAGAAAGGCCATACGGTCAATGCCAGTGCCACTGAGAGTGGTTGGAGGTCCATCTACACTGATTCCTCCACTGGGCAAAATCCGCTGGCCATTTGGACATATATGACTACTTTCGTCACGGGTTGTGATCTCTTCCATTACAAGGCCATAAGTGAATTTGCTTTGGCGAGTGAAATTCTGCAAGAGCACATAAGAAATTATGCAAAGTAAAATAGATTCAAAAGAAAAACACAACAATAAGCATAATTGACAACAACAATAAGCACAAGAATTATTATTTTTTTGTTTTTTTGTTGTTGTTGTCAATAATAAGCATAACTGACCAAAAAAAAAAGAAGGAAAATCGTACCTCTGTAATATTAGCCTTAACACCAGCTCGATCAACCCATATGGGGGGTACTTCATCAGCCCCAGGCCCACCAGTGAAGACTGGACTCAGTTTTCGGCTGTTAAAGCAGCTCACACGGAGACTTCGGTTGCGAGGATTGTAAACACCATCCAGGTATGGATGCACGTATTCAAGCTTGAAAGCAAGGTCATCCTGAGAAAATATCATTATCTACATTTAATGAAACAATTTCATGGCAGGCAATGGTGAATCATCTTGACATCAAGTCGAAAACTACAAACTCGTTTTTTTTTTTTTCCTACTAGTATCACCTGGGGATTGAGGAAGTTGCTGGTGGTTACAGAACCAAGGATCGATCTATTGAGCCCTTTGATATTCCGATGCTCAAAAGTAACAGTTCCACCAGGCTGCAGTGAAGCCTAAACATGGAAGATATACAAAATGCAAAGACTCAATACCGAAGCCTTAAACATAGATGGTTATTTAAAAACGTATGAAAACACTTACCAAAGTAGGATATCCTCCACGTCCAGGAACAATACTCCATTCTGTACTAACTTCAGCCGTCTTCTGCTCTAGTTCTTTAAGCTTAATTTCTACTATTATTCCTCCTTCATTCTTCTCATCGGGTCTTGGGTTGACTTCAATGTTCGAAAACAAAGCTAGTGAATTTATATTCCTCAGGGCCTGCTTCCCAGCTTCTATGTTGAAAACGTAGCCTGGTCGAAGCTATAAATTCATTTCAAACATTCATCAATAAAAACTAAGTAATCAAATCAATACGACCCAATGCAAGTTACCTAGTAGGCCTTTAACCACTATAAATACCAAGTAAACACAAAAAACAAACATAAAACCAAATAAATCACCCTACGAAAGCCTGAAACAAACAAATAACCCATTAAAACTATATTAAAAACAAATCCATCAATTATAGCCAGTCACCTAATAGACCTTTAACCCCACATTTCAATCACCAAGTAAACACAGAAACTAATACTGCCATCCTAAAAGCTGTAAAACAATGCTCATTCGACATTACACATGAAAAAAAAAAAGAAGTAAAATCTTCGTTCAACTTATGATTTACCTGTCTGGGCAATTCTCTCTTGACAACAGGGATTTGAGTGTTCCCTTCAACTACATTGCCAAGTTTATCCTGGAACTGAATAACGAGCTGAGTAATATCCCCTTCCACAACCTCACAAACGACCTCTTTCGTATTCAAATTCCCAAAATTGACGACCTGGGCACAGGCATAGCCTTCGTCATGATACCATTTCTGAACTCTGTCCCTGATCCTCTGCAGCAGCCTGGCGCTGACCTTCCCCTGATCCCTCAGCATCTGCATAACCTCCCGGTACACCGGCATCGGCAGCAGGCAGGGGCGGGCCCTCTCGATCCTCCTCTTGTAGTCCTTCTCCTGATTCTTGAAGTACTCGAGCTTCTCCTTGTCCGTCATGTCCGGGTCCATCTCGATAGGCTTCGACTGCGGCATCATCCCGACATTTATGCACCGGAACTTGTCGGCCGACTGCCATGTGCTCTCGGTGAACGAGATTGTCACGCCGAGGGTCCCGTCCGGGTTGGTCTTCCCTTCCATGTCGACCTTCTCGAACATTCCGCAGGTCGCCAGCGTCTCCAGCTCCTTCTGGAGCTGCGCCTTGGCGTAGACGCCACCAGGCCTCAGCGAGACCATCTCGAAGAACGAGTCCTCCGGCCCCACCGTGTTCCCTCGCCGCCGATCGAGGAATTGGATGTCGGAAACCCTATATTTCTTGAACCCGCTCAATTTGTTCAGCTGGACCACAATGTTGGCCGGGAGGCCGTGGGAATCCCACTCCTGGGACTGAGAGTCGTCGGCAAACGCTGCCGAGGGACAGAACAGTCTTCTCCAAAACCCGCCGCTACCTCCATTACCGCCGCCGCCATTTCCACTTCCACCGCCACCGCCTCCGCCAAATCCACTTCCTCCGTTTCCGCCGCCGCCTGTGAGGTTTTCGGGGGAGTTGAAGGCGGAGGAGCAGAGGCTGAAGACGAGGGTGACGGCGGAGGAGGCTGCGAGGACCTTGGGGAGGTTATCGAGGAGGGGAGAGAGGGGTGAGAGGTTGGAAGGCTGGAGGTTTTGGGAAGAGGAAAGAGAAGGGGAAGAGAGATTGCATTTTAGAGTGGAGGAGCGAGATGAGACGGCGGCGGAGGAGGAGGAGGTAGTGGTGGCGGGTGGTAATTTGGGACGGGAGGTGAAGGAGGAAGGGAGAGTGGTCGGGTTGAGAAGATGACTAGGCGCGGCGGCGAAGAACGCCATTGTTGAGGATAAGAAGAGAAAGGAGCCGACCCGAAGAAAGACGGTGAGAGAGAGAGAGGGGGGTTAAGGCTTAAGAGGGTTTTTGTTAGTTTTTTTTTTTTTTTTTTTTTTTTTTTTTTTTTTGGAAAATAATTTCTGGGGAAAATAAAATGTGGAGATTTGTATTTGTAGCTCAAGTCACAAACAAGTGGGCTATTTTCTTTTCATTTCTTTTTATTTTAATAGATTTTTGGGTCGGGCAAACTAATGTGTGTGTGTTTTTTTTTTTATATTTTATTTTTTAAGGAGCATTTTACACCAAAAAGATTTTCGTGAGAAACAAGTAAGGGATTAAAACTGGATTTATTAGGTTCATGTCAAAAAAAAAAAGGAAAATCGAAGAAATAAATGATTAAGGATAGTGTATTTGATAAGGGGATTCGTATCCTGATTCGAATCATGATTCATAGTTCGTTACAGTATTTTTTCTCATAAAAAATATACGTAAATAAAAAATAATTCTAATTCATGAACTAAACGTCTTCTTATGACTAGAGATTGTGATTTGGGTTTTCTTTTTTCCCTCTTCTGCAATTAATTTTGTATTGAGAATAATTTTTCTCATTGATTGATAACAAGTGGAACAAGTCTAACTATAAAAACAGGGAAGTTTCCCTTTAAAAAAACTAAAGAGAAAAAAAAAATCAGCCAATGCATAATCGAAATTAATTAGACAACATCCTCAAAAAAAATTATAATAATTAGACACCCATAGAATTCGGGGGAAAAATTGAAAGGGAGACAAACACAATAAGAAACTTGTAATGGCCGTTTTGTATTTCTAGAACAGATGCTGTAGGTTGACCTTTGAAAGTGTATGTTGTCGTTTTTGAACTCATTTTTGTTTGTCGTTCGTAGCATAAATTGTCGTTTACTTAAATAATGTATTTAAAAATTTGTCGCATGGAGTTGTTATATATTTTGAAGAACGTCGTTTTTTGCAATAAATTTCTTTTTCTGTGTTGCCGTGTATTCCATTTTTTGCGAAGTCGTTCTGGGATGTGCGGCGGTCTTTTGAGTTCTACTCGTTTTTTTTTCTTAATTATTGTTTTCTTTTGTATTGAGAAAGCACAAATAAAGTTGTCGTTTCTAAATAAATGGAAAATTGGCCAAATAAATAAGTTGTTCTTAAGTTACGGCCACATTTAGGATATCTTGTCTCTTTCAAATGTTTCCGTCTTTCCGAGAGGAATTGTCGTTTATTTGCTGAGGATTAATGGATTTTCTTACCGGTTAATGTGTCGTCGTTTCACCGTCTGTTTTTGGTTTTAGACAGTTACTTGGTCTAATATCATTATCGTTTACACGAATTAATCTTATTTCCGAAATTAATTGTCGTTTCCTGAGAATGTATTGTCGTTTTCTATGCATTGTCTTTCTTACAAATTCTTGTACACGGCAAAATGTTTTCTTAAGCCCTGTCGTTTTGAGCATATGTTGTCGTATTATGGTGTTTGTTATTTTTAGGAGGAATTATCCTTTAGGTTTTTAACAAAATTGCCCCTGAGATTGTTGTGATTTAGTAAATTGTCCCCCAGATTTCTAATTTTGGTAACCAACTGCCTGAATTTGCTCAACTTAAACAAACGGATGTTATAAAACTCACGAAATTAGACACGTGCGAGTTTGCCATCTTAAAGACTTAAGAGGTATTGCTGGTATCAAGTATGCCACGAGAGCTATTTGAAAAGTTGAACGGTCAATTCTCTGAAGAAACGAAAAGAATATATATTAAAAGTTGGTATTGAGAAACAAGCAACTTTTAATACTAGTTCCTGTTTACGAGTTTTACGAAATTAAACTAAGACTTAAAAAATATGATTTTTTTTTTTTTTTTTTTTGGTTAAGAAAATAGAACTAATTAGCGTGTTCAATTTCTTGAGGTGCAAAGATAAGTAGTTAAGGATCCTAATAATAGGAACCTTGACTTAAGGAGGGCCTTAGGCAATTAATTCCCTTAATGCCTTACCCTTTGAGCCGGCATTGACCAACAATTATGGAACCCGAAACCAATGCCTAAGCACCATCCTTGATTTCTGCCCATGATTAGTAACATATAACATATAGACATATAAATTTGTTGCCTAAACACATGAAGCGGACTGAATTGTCAAGAATTACGGCAATGGCTCAAACTGATCGCACCCAAGGACGTGAATCTCCTAAAACACCCACTAGTCCAACTATTGAACAATTGCTCCGAGGTAATCAAACCCATGATACCAATTCAATCTAAAAGCATCATAAAACTATGTTCATGAATATTTTCCTTTATCAGTAATAAGAAGAATGTTCCATTTGAGGCAAAAATATAACTATGCATGTTGTAGTCTAGCAAAAACATATTCAAATACTTGCATATATCCTAGGTACGTACTATCCAAGTGGAATTGGCTGTGCAAGTCTATGCATGTTTTCACCGAAATTCGAATTCTAGTGATTTCATTTCTTCTTATTAAAAATTCTAGATAATATTATCGGTAACAAGTTTAGATGTGCATGCATGCAGAGGGCGATGGATCATGGTGGTCAACACCATCTTCTTCATCATCTCCACATGCGAGGAACCATGACCAAGAAGAAGATCATGGCCACCATCAAAGGAAATCCATGCTGACCAAGGTCAAAGAGAAGGCCAAGAAGCTGAGGCACTCTCTCAGCACCAAAAAAAAGCATAGTAATGAGGATGAGAACACCACGCCCGCATGGGGCGTTAGCTTAGAAGACGATGAAGACGAAGAAGAAGATGCAGAATATCTTGGAGCCCCAAGTAATAATACTACATTCAAATCTTTTATTCATTATGTGTTGTGGATCTATTCCATGAATTTCCTTCATTTCATTTTCCCCAAGATTTTCTTTTCTTTTCTTTTCTCTTTGGAAATGTTATATTAACTCGATTCTTATCCAGACCAAACCTAGTCCCCTTAAGCAGACTTGTTTCATTAGCGGAAAAAAAAAAGTCACACTCGTTTAGGCCCCTTTCTTTTTTTAGCAAAAAAGTTTTTTTTTTTTTTTTTTTTTTTTTTTCAAAAAGGTGTAGTGGTAATGGGAGCAAAATATTTCTCAACTCGGATACTCAAAGGCGAAATGAGAGCTCATAAAAATTTAGAGAAAAATATTTAAATCTATACAATTTTGACTTTTATCTGTAGGTTAAAAATTGTTACCCGACCCTTAAAATTTAAGTGTTGTAAGTTCTTGACTTGATCAAATTATATGGTCAAATTAGCGTCACATTCATTATAGTTTGGAGGCACTTTCTAGCACAAAACAAAGTTTAGAGACTATAAAGGATTGTTTGGAAGCTACATTCAAACTTAAATTATGATTCTGTTACAGTATTTTCTTATAATGAGTTTGAATTTCAAAATTTCCTCTCTCACAAAGATCCCACCACTGAACTCAAATTATGATTTGAGTATGCCTCCCTAATGGACCCTAGCTTAATGGTTAAAAAAGAAAATCAACCAAAGTGTTACATGCTAACATCCCATTAAAAAAAAAAAAGAGAGAAAGGAAGAAAGAGACAAAGCTCCTTTTTGCATTCAACTCTAGTGAGATCTTCTCTCTCTGAGTAATCTCATTTTATTTTTTCAGTGTATGAATCGGAGCTGGCACCTGAGAGTTACAAGGAGATTGCACGGCAACATCCAAGGGCAAATCCTGTGATCTCGGAGAAAACCCTTTTTGGCCTTTCTATTGTCCCTGAAAAAACTAGCTCTTCCCATTAGCCTGTTCAACTTATTCATCAATATCTTCCATCCCATCTTCTTGCTGTCTCCCGGTAGAATGATGCTTCTAAAGGCTCCTCCATTGATTCTTGTGATCTTCATGTATCGATCGTAAGCACCTCAATCAGCAAAATAAATTGTGCCCCGTTGAACGTCTTTTTGAAACCATCGATCCTATTATTCTTACACAAGAACTCCATTGTTTGAGAAATCCAGATCACTGCACCTAACTCGTAGGAAATGAAGAAACTCGACCTCCTATTGGACTCCTCTATTCTCACCAAGCCACCGTCTTCACTTAGTGAGATTTTGTACAACTCTGGACCTATTCTAAACTCATGGAGAAAACGATTCAAATCCTTTTGAGACATCTTAACTAATTTAGATATTTTATGAATAAAATCAGTAAAGAGATTATGAACTCATCCTTCGGAATTCTAGAGAGAGGAGAGAAGAGAAGCTAACAAGTGAAACACTTTTAAGTTGTAAGTAGCGAAATATAATTGAGTCCAAAAAACCTAAGCCTTCTCGAAATCCACTTTAAACATCAAACCCTGTTTCTTCTTAGAGCTATAATCCTCTACTGCCTCATTTGCAATAAGCACCACATCTAAAATTTTGTCTATCCTTCACAAATGCACCTTGGGCCAACAAAATTGTTTCACTTAGGACTTCCCTCAAACTATTTGTCAAGACTTTTGCCATAATGTTGTAAACTTGCCACCAAACTTATTAGCCTATAGTCTTTCAATCTCCTTGAGTCGGTCCGAAATTACACAAAGAAAAGTATGGTTAACTGCAAAATTAATCACACCACTCCTATGAAATTCCTCATACTCTCAATAAGTCTCTTTTCACCACACAAACAATCTTGAAAGAACTCTGCTGAAAATCCACTTGGTCCCTGTGACTTATCCCTGTCATTACTAAAAACTGCAAGCTTAATTTCCTTTCAAAAGGTCGCTCAAACCACCGAGCCTTTTCATCCATAATCACCCTCCAATCAATTCCCTGAAAAGACCAAGAAACAACCTCTTCAACTTGAAATAGTTTCTCACATAACGAAATATTCTCTTCCAATTTCCTCGTCTTCGAACACTGAATCATCATCCTTTTCCAACCTTGAAATTACACTCTCATTTCTCCTGTTACGTAGCGGCTTGCGAAAAAATTTTGTGTTCGCATCCCATTCCTTTGTCCTTCTAAATTTCATTTTTTTTTTGTTTCCAAGCCACCATATCTTTAAAAATTATTTCTTCTAGCCGATTCCTTAAAACTTTTCTTTCCTCCCTACCACCATTGTCCAAACCACTCTCCTCTTCTTTACTGTCCGATCTCTCAATTCTCCCCAAAAGCTCACTTCTTGCTAAATTTGTATCCCCAAAAGATTCCTTATTCTAAGTCTTTAATTTGTCCTTCAAACCTTTCAATTTCTCCATAATTTTGTAGCCTTCCCAACCAACCGGATTCATGTTGCCCCACCAAATTTCACATTCCTTCCGGAAACTTGGATGGTCCAACCACATATTTTCAAACCGAAAAAGTGTTGGTTTCCATTTTACTAGATGGCTATCCAAGATCAAGGGGAAATGGTCAGAACATGCTCTCACTCCCACCACTTGCCTAACTTCATTGAACAAGTTATCCCACCCATTTGTAACTAGAAACCTATCAATTGCTCTTGGTCACATCTTCTCTAAAATTTGTCCATGAGAACTTAGAGTTGGACAACACTAAATCCCTTAAATCTGCCTCCCTAATGAGTTTATCAAATGCCCTCATACTTCTGGTATCCCTTCCGCTTAGAAATTTTTCTTGACTAAACCTGTATTGAAGTCCCCTCCCACACACCAATTCAGTTCACAAATACAATTCAAGCCAATTCATCCCAAAAGTCTCCTCTATCTCTATAAGAATTAGGACCATATACCCAGGTAACCACCATGAAGCTTTCAAGCATATCATTTTATTCTTGGTAGTCGTTCAAAATTATTCTTATCCTCAAGTTTGTGATGGTTGCATCATCTTCAAGGATGCTTGGTCTACGTTGATTTAAACCTCCAATTTGTGGGGGCTGATGCATTGGCAATCATCCAAGTTATAAAAATTTTCTTCATTTGTAATGAGTTGAGATTGTTATTGCCAGATGTATCTAGTTTATTATATTTTTTCTAGAGATAAGTTATGTCATGTGTATAAGGAAGATAATAGGGCAGCCATACCTTGGCTGCTTATGCTCTTACTATTGATGATAAGCTATTTTGGTTGGAGGAAATTCCAACACTCTCATTAATAATAACAGTTTCTATTCTAAAATTTATATATATATATAGATATATATATATTCAAACCAATTTCAACAACCATGTACTTGGCCACGTTATTCTTAATACACAATCCAAATGGATATGATAATTCCTAGCTTGTGTTAAGACTATTAATAAAGGCCTGAACTCCTGTAACACAAAACCCCGTAAGCTACCCATAGCTATGTTTGACCTTAGCATGTCTAAGTTTGGAACCTACCAATTCTTACTAGAGAACCTTATATCTCTTTTGTAATGTTAATTAGATTCCTGAATGTTTTGGGATTTCAAGCAACTAATGAACTGGAGTTTTATCATAAGGTCCCCCCTATTTAAAATTCTGAAAGAAAAATAATGCGTAGCACTATTGTATCAGCACTATTACAGGGAACTTCAGTCATGCAGCTATGAAGTATAGAATAACATAGCTCCTGCTGCTTATTTATATCTAATGGTCTGATAGTGAGATCGTGTAGATATATTGCTTCATATATTGCTTCTTATACTCAATTTCTAAAGTAAATTGGTATTGACATTTCTAAAGAAAATTGGTATTGACACTGCTCATCATATGGTTTTAGGAAGAAAGCAGCGTAAATAGTACTTGTTGTTTATTGTATATGTTGTATTTCATAGGGAATGCTGCGGGAAAAGACTTTATTGTTTTCAATCTTATAAAACTCCTTGTGAGTGTAACATAAAAGTAGAAACTGCACGTACCAGCATTTTACTCTTTACACTGAAGAAGCCATCTGCATCAGCCACAACTGCCGGCTTTGAAGCTCCAACAACCATAATAGCACCCTAAACATCAACCAAACTTTCAGCGCAATACTAATTGTCACAAGGAGCAGAAGACTACTCAATTTGTGAAATAAGGAAAACCTAGCATTGATGTTTTCAACTCACCTGGCGGAAGTATAGTGTTGAATCTATCCACTCCAAACATGCCCAAATTGGACAGAGTAAATATTTCTGCAATGATTCAACTTGATCTATTCATAAAAGAGCACCATGAAAAGTAATAGACAATAAATATGTGCAAATACATTTGATAAAGAAGACCTGAATTGTACTCGTGAGGTTGAAGTTGCTTTGAACAGGCTTTCTCCACCAGCTCCTTCCACTTTTGAGATAAAAGATACAGATCCATCTGTGCCAACAAACATAAGTTACCCGCTAAGCATTGAACTTAAGCTGTCATGAACAAAGTGGACAAGGTGAGTGTATTTCAAACCTTGTCAGCATCCTGAAGAACCAGCGTTATAAGACCGCCATTAATCGCAACAACAACCGCAATATTTATGTTACTATTGTACGTAAAGCTCTTACTGTCTTTGCATGAAGCGTTCACAACCGGATGCTGAGCAAGAGCCATAGCAGTGGCCTTTGTCAACAAGGCAGTCATCGCGACACCCTTCGGTTTGACCTAAAGAGCACAAGGCAATTCAATTCAAAACCCCACAATCCAAACACCAATAAAAAACAAATTCGACACTTCAAACAATACAAACAACCTAACAATGGCCTTACTTGACAATGTAAATGAACGCATTACCAAGCAAACAAGAAAATTTGACTACTTTGTTAGCCAAAACATAAAATTCAAGAATCAAGGTCTGAATTTTCAATACCTTCTCATAGAGTGTGTCGAGGGCATCGGTGGTGACGGGATAACAAACGCCGAAAGTGGGCACGGAGAGGCTCTCCGTATAAAACATATCTCATTGAATCTAATTTGAGGAAAGACATGAAAGTCGATATTAAATGTCCAAAGTGCCACTTCTACGAAATTGTGCAGATCATTTAATTAAGATTACGTTAACAACATAACTTGACAGACAATAGAAATATTCAAGACGTCAGCGTTCACACCACAAACGTCAAGATCAAGAAAGATAACCATCTCCTACACCTTATCTCTTAAGTGGCCAGCCACCCTAGAGTTTTTATCCCTGTGTGTGGCGCCAATTGCAGTTAGGGAAGGAAGAGAAAATAATCATTTATCCTGCAGTCCAATTTTAATTCAAATTCAAATTGGAATTTAAGTCAAACTTAAATTAATTTGAATTCTAAATTGAACAATTTATCAAATGAGTTTAAAAGAATAAATTTAAATTATGTTCATAATTCAAATTCAAATTTAAATAATCACATTATTTAAATAATAATTAATTCTCAATTAATTATTTTTTGAGCATTTAATTTTAGAATTCTATAATTCTAAAATTCTCATTTTGTCCTTTGTGTCTGGTAGAATTACAAGGACGACGCGGGGACTTATGGACCTATAATCCCGAGCTCCAATAAAATTAATAATTAATTAAACACTTTAATTAATTAATCAATTCTATTAATTCCAATAGTTACTCCACTATAAACTTGGAATTGAACTCTCGAAATTATAGACATTAATTACTTCTAAACTGTGAAGTATCCATTTGATATAGTCATTGCATATAGATCAATCCTCCATAAATAATTCATAATTAGAGTCAGGTAGAATCCGTTAACCTCTCTAATTATATCTGCATCCTTGAGTACTATCTATTTCTTTCTCAAGAAGGAATGGATTCCATCTCGTATAATAACATTCCCAGCTACCTATTTCATCATGTCTCCAAAATACAAGGAATAGGATTCAGGGTCTCAGAATCCGTACCGAGTAAATCAAAAGACATAAATCCATAAATA